ACTAATTAATGTCATCATCATGATAGTTGGAAATGTTTCCAATTTTTTAGTTCAATACATCAACTGATCAGATTTTGATTTGCTTAATTATAATTGACTTTTAAATACCAAACACATCTAAATAATTGAAAGTCTATGTTTCTGGTTTGAATTTTTATTCCAGCTTATCATGAAACTTACCATGTTTCAGAATATTGAAGACAAAGTTCATTTTGATTGATTACCCATGAGGATATTAGATGGATAACTAAATAAACTATCACAATAATCAATCAATTAAAATAGTTTACCAATTAGTTAATCGCTTTAATTTGTTTCATTTTCTAATTTCTTGATTGAACCTGTGAAGCTTTTCAAGCTTTCGGTTCTCAGAATTTTCAATCTCTCGACTTGAAATTTTCCAAGTTGAATGTTGATCTATTGATAATCACCATGAAATGAATACGATTCACGATTTCTGATGCAAACATGGGACAAAAGACTCCAGAACGAGCTGAAAAGATAATCGAAAACAGCATTCGATATTATTCTGTATATTCATGAGAGAAAATTGGATCAATCGACATCAATAACAATACATTTGGACTGATTTCGGACATTGGCCAAATTCATTATTGAAAATGTCACTTTTTAACCAACGAACTTTGGACAATATAAGAATCGAAATTTGGACAAATATGATTACCGATTAAGAAGTAGCGATCGTACAATATGTTTTAGAATTGTGTAGGTAAAGATACATGATGAGAAAAAGATTAACTCATGATTTAGAAAGTAATCAACCAAATCTCAATAGATTAACATGATTAAGGTGTATGAGTAATAATAATCAACTAAATACTCGTTCAATTGATTGCGATTGAATTCAAGTCACGAGTATGTAAAACTTTGCCTCTTGGTTCACATTAATATTCTTGCAATCACAATGCTAACGATTTTCCTTGTTATTGTTACATTAGCATGAGATTTGTTGATTCTAGGGGATCATGGTGATCATTTTGCCTTCATTTCCTCGATTGGAACAGTAGTAATAGAAAATTTCGTTGCCAGTTCTCAAGTGTTGAGAAAAAGGTTCGAAAAGAATAGAAAAACAAAAAAAAATAGAACAAAATAAAAACCTCTTGAAACAAAGTCTTACATCAAACATTGTTGTTTACCGTTACATCATCTTTTGTATTCATTCATAGCGATGAAAATAATATTATCATGATAATGTAGTTCGATCGGTTGTTATGTTCAGTTGAGGATCTTGACATGATATTATTATAATATACTTGTCAAGAGAGAGAGAGAGAGAGAGAGATTAAAATTCAAAGATTCAACATATTATCATGAAAAGGATCAAAGGAAACAGGATAAAGTTGCAAGAGAATCTGATTAGAACAATGTTGGAAGTTTCAGCGAATGAATCTCGAATTTGATTCGTGATAAATTCAATCAAATCAATGTGATGATTACCCAAACATTCACACAACACATTTAATCATCTCTTTTTTAATCAAAGAGTAAATTGATTGTTATGATTTTCTTGCATGATGGTCTATTCATTAACCCATTGACCATTTGGATTAACACTCTTCAGGTTGATAATTATAACTTTCATCTTGTTAATTGAATCAGTTCATGTACAATGTTCAGCTCGATAATTATCAGGAAGTGATAGATTAACTCACCTTTTTTTCCCTCATTCATCGTTCAGTTCTTGTTTCCACCATGAAATAATTATATACTTCATCATCTAATTCCGATAATAACTTTGTTCATAATGAATTCAGGGTAATCATCATTTTGTAAACATGAAACAGCATTCAAATTAAATAACCATTGTAATCATATAATAATAATAATCAGTTGGAAATAGTGACAATAGTTTTCCATAAGTTGATGTAGTAAATTTAATTATATTCATTGACATGATGATAAAAACCAGAATTTTATCATGAAAGTATTGGCAAAACAATTTACCATCTCAACTTTTATATTGACAGTCTTATCTGGGCAATTTAATCATAATCAAGATTAAAACAACGATAATAGTATCAAACTAATAATGAAAGTCCATTGGCAACAATTAGTCAACAATTAAGCAACAGGAAGCAAAAAAAAAATTACCAACAATAATTATTTGGGTGACTATTCAAATCTGAAAGTTAATTATCAATCTAACACCTTCTGGCTTGATTGTTTATCATGATTAAGATTAAGAGTTGTAATAGTTGAACACAATTAATTAATTATTGTGATTCCAGTTTGTAATCATATTGATTAAATTTTATCATCTAATTGAATCAAATTAATAAATGATAATCAAGAACATGTTAATATGTAATTTCATTTGAATTGTAAATGGTAAAATTGTTAATCAATTATTAGATTGTTATTGAAGGTTTCTGGAAATTAATATATTTAGTTAATTATTTGGCAAAGAATTAGTTTTCATATTAAATTTTCATCTATTTTTATCACAATCAAGGTTGATAATCAAGTGAATTTACATTTTAATTGATTCTATCAAAAGTTAATTGAGTTGAGAACAGTTTATCCTGATTGTTGATTGTTTACCATTTTCGTTACTCGTTAATTGTATTGATTTGATTGAGAAAAAAAAAGTTACAAGAGCCGGATTAAGATCTCAACTTTTAATTAATCAATTTGACAACCTAATTACAATTTACTATTAGGAATTAGATGAAAAGTTGATCAGATCTACTCAAATTCTAGATCAACACTGAGACGAGGTGAGTTTTCAATAAGATCAATAACTTTTATCATGTTAAAAGATAAACTCTGAACTCGATCAATAAACATGATTATAATTTCATTCATGAATTAATAAACTTGAGACATTTCACAAAATGAATAAATGTTTTACATGAAGATTGAGATAATTTCATGAGAATGGATTTGAAACTTTTCAATGGAAACTAAAACTTCCACTATGTTTAAGATTTCAAGTTTCTTTATCATGAAATTAATAGACTGAATAATATGTTCCCCATGAAAACTATTGTCTCCATGTTCAATGTTTCAACATAATGATAACTAACATGGTAAGAATTTTGTTCAATTGTTCAAACGATGATTAACTTAATGGGCAAGTTAATTATCCTATTATTAAATTGTACCATTTTTTTCCAGTGTTTCCATTGACCGAGTTTACAGTTTCATCATCATAATCAGAATCAATTTATTTCCAGTACATTAGTTTGGTTACTTGTTCAATTTACTCAGCTATCATGTTCATGATATATTACACATTGAACATGTATAGACGAAGGAAAAATAAAAAAAATATAATAACTCATGTTACTCAAAAATAAAGTTCACCAAAATGAATATGATCAATTCATTTGAAGATTTAGTTAATTAACCAAACTACCATTTCCATTAGACTGATTTACCTGAGGTCTCTCATGGGAAGGTTATCGGTTTGTTCAAGAAAAGTTCAAGGTTGAACATTTTGAAACTCTGATTCAGTAGAATTGGAAAAAAACAGAAATTATCGAAATTCTATTTAGGTTTTAAACAAGTAGATTGTTCATGTTTACGAGATGAAATTGAATGGATTGAATTTTGATCAGAATATTATATACAAGTGATGAATTTCAATTGCATCATGATGCCTGAGAATCACTGTTTTCATGACATGAGTTTGTATGAGATTCATAAGAAGTAAGTTATCACCAATGGATTGGATTATTTTTGCTCTTATTTTTTTTCTCATGATAATTAACAGCAAGAAATCTGAATCTGAGCTTAAACTGTCAAAATCAATTAACTGGTAGAGAATAAGTTAATTTAATTTCACTTGCTAATTGTAACACAACATGAAACTCAAATTTGAATCAATTAGATTATCATTGATCTTATGGTGTGTCAAGTGAAATTACTCAGTTGATGATGAACCTTTTTTTTTCTTAATGGTGAAAATAACACCATGTATATCGGATGATAATAAATTGTTTCCATCAACTTGAATACTTTATTGGTGGTGATTGTTACTTGATTGTTAAGATAGAACCTTTCAATTTGATTATTTACTATCTTCTCAAATGGATATCCAATGGTAATCAATGATCAAGTTATATCACCGATTACTCAGTATGAACCAGAATAACCGTTACTTGTGTTAATTAAAATGAATACAAGACAATTTATTTGATAACTAAATTGTCAGGGACACACAACCAACACATGAAATGTTTTTATTATTTAATGATTTTCACAGTTTGATATTAACAATTTGGTCAACAACAACAACAACAACAAAATCTACATGATGATCATCATGATCATGGTTCCTCTTGAACAATTTCAAAATCCCCTTTCTTCATCCTCTTCCTGTTCCATCATATCAACACAATTTCCCATGTAATTAGCTCTAAATTGTAGTAATTTATTTTGATGGAATTGTGTTACTTTTTTGTTCAATCCACAATTCAGTCAGAATTTTCATGGAAAATCGTAGGCTAGTGATGGTGATAATCATGATGCTCGGATGAAGTTGATGGTGATGTTAGACTGAGTTTTCTTTGTAATGTTTATCAAAATGATCACTTCGACTAATAAATTTGATAGAATAAAAAAGTTCTGTTACAAAATAATAATGATAAGTTCAGTTATATTTTCCTCACCCCTGGACTTTTACAATCTCCATGTTATCAACCCTCATATTTGGACAATACATGAATGAATGAAATTCCCAGTTCTCATAAGTTAAAGTGATAATATTTTCACTACGACGTTTTCACTGTCCAATTCAAGTAACATTATGATAATAGTTATTATCATCAGTTTAACTTTTCAATCTACCGGAATCATCAGCATCTTCATGATTATCTACTTGTAATAGATAAACTTGAAGCCTATTATCTTGTTAATCCATTAGATTAAACTGTAAATCCAAGTTGATCCAAGTTAATCTCGTTTAAATGATCAAGATAACATTTCGTTGACAACAATTACTGATTGTTTTTTCTGTCTCTTCCCTTTTATCACAGGTAAATCCAGGAAAATCAAGTTCCATAAACAATTAAACTCCCAATTTTCAGCTGATTATTTGATTGGAAACAATTAAAAGACAAAGACAAAGATAAACACACACACACACACATTAACAATTAACTGAAATCATGGTTAAATCAAATTTAATTGTCTCTCTCATGGTCTTATCCTCAATCCTCCTCATTTTAAATCCATTGGTTTCATGTCATGTTAATTCAAACGACGATAGTAAGTGGATACTAGGTTAGATATAGACAACCATTAACTTGATAACTTTTAATTGTTGTTAAATTATTGTATTATTATTAATTATTACTCCTTGAGACACTTATATTTATCGTTGAAATTTCAATCACCATAACTTTTGGATAAGCAAGAAAAAAATAACAATAAGATTATCATAAATTGTTTCACATTCACCTTAATCACTTGTTGGTTTGTTAACTTCAACTAAATTGTCACAAGTGTATTAATTGTTATTACTATCATGAAGATATCAATTGGGATCATTGGGGATAAATCACCTAGACTATTAATGTTTAATTCATATTGATTCATGTTACTCTTGGAGATAGATTGAAATTGATTATAACAACTATTCAGTTGAGAGAGAGAGAGAGAGAGATGATGAAATAGTTTCTCCTCATCTTTTATCATTAATGAGATTATTATCATTCTGATGAGACTATAAAAATAAACCAATTAGATTATCCTTATGATAATAATAATATAAGATGATTCATATTATTCAATCTCCATGAAAATTATCATAAATTTCATCGTCTAGGTAAACATCTAACCCTGAATATAAAATCTCATCTCTTTCTGTTGATTTACTCAACTCAATTTCAATACCAATGAATTAAGATTGTAAATTAAGTATAATTAGTAAGCTAAATTTGAAACAATTAACGTTTCAACGACTTCTCATTATCAACCCATTGTTGATGATAATAATTCAGTTTATGAGGTTACATTAGTTATAACCAAAGTTCTGATGTATCAGATTTATCATGGAGAAGAAGAAGAAAAAAACTTCAATGAAACGAAAGTTAAATTTTGAAATTTAAATTCTGAATACATGATTATCTTGATAATAGTCAGAGTAAAACAATTTGCTAGATGAGAAACAATTTACTTGGTTAATTTTTCACCATTCAAAATGATTCTGTTAAAATTCACGTTCATTTGTATTTCCTTTTTTTTTATCTCTGGTGAGTTTTCAGAGTTTCAATTAGATATTCCAATGGATATTTACATGAGGAAACCATGGATGGTGATTCTGAACATCCATGAGGAACAATAATCCTAATAGATTCTTAAAGTTTCAAAAAAGTTCTGTTGTTGTTCACCATTAACTTCATGATATTTTTCATTGAGAAACTTGAATGAAACATGGAAGGGGAAATAATTGTCTTATTATTTTCACCTACGTGATTTGCATGAATCTTTGATATTATTAGTTGAATTGGAGTTTTTTTCTTTGTTGTTGTTGTGAAGATATTCACCAGACAATTAACTAATTCAATTTCTCTCTCTCTCTCTCTTTCTCTTGATTATGATTAGCAGATTTGAGGGATCTTTATGATCTCTTTTTGAGAAATGAGAATCAACAAGCTGACCAGTATAATCGATTTGGTCATCAGATGGAGAGGAAAGGAGGACGATCGCCATCACTTAGACTACGATTCGGTCGACGAGCTGACCCACTTTGGTCCAATCGTCCATCCATGGCTGAGATTAATAGTGCTGATGTGTCAAAGAAATAGACGATTAATTGTGAATTATTGTTGATTATTTATCTCCACTAATCAACATTGAATTTTGATTTGACAAAACAAAACGAAAAACAAAAACACTACTATTACTAAATTGTTTACCTTTTGATTGTGATTGTAATGTAAAGCAACTGATAGGAATTGAGATGAAAATCAAATTACTAATCATGAATGATAATCAACGCACAGAAAAAAAAAACAAAACTAAAACAAAACCTAATTGTGAACAAAACTGTTTGACTAATTAACAAACTTGAGATGATGAAATTTGAACAAACGAAAACAAATAAAAAACTAAATGAAATCAATCATTTTTATTAATCACTGTTAATATATAACTCTAAATTGTTATCCTTTTTAGTTAATTACTTTCTAGGGATATTAAAACAATCAATATTTGCTTTTTTTTGTTCATCATCTCATCAGACTAAAAATTAAATCATTATTTCCGCTTCCTTGATTGTGTTCAATCATTTTCACTAATAATCAACAATCACAAAACATTGTAAAAGATTCAAACATTCAACTGTTCAATTGTACCAATTTTAGTTAATTTGATTTATATTTTCTTTCAGCTTTTTGGTTTCCATTAATAAACTGCTAATTGTTAGTTAAACTAATGAAACAATTAAAAGACACTCACAGTTACAGTTAATAGAAATCATGATTGTCTCTCTCGTCGTTTAATCTAAATCCAACTTATCCTTAAGTTTTTTTTTTAATTTTCCTCTTTTCCCATTTGATTTTCGCGGTTTTCAGCAAAACCTTTCTGAGTTTGCGCAGGTTGAAAATTCTGAATCACAATTGTTCAGATTACGTTCTTACTATTTTTCCGATAGGCAGAGTTATGTCTGAGGTTTTTGGAAGGAAATTAAATGTTAACAATTTTAAAGAATCCATGTAACTTGAGGTCTCAAATATTTCCCGAAGTATTAATAATATGTAGAGGAAGATAACTCATTGTGACACTTACATTTATCGTTTCATTTCAGTTACCAAACTTTGGATGAATAGATGACGATTTGATTGTTCATTGTGATTAGTTTGTATTGGTGATAATTGTTCATCATTTGTTCAGTATTGTCTTTTGTATGTATTTATATAATAATAGAAGTATTAATATTAATTATGGTATCGTAATAGGGCGATGAAAGAGTGAGAGATTGAGAGCCAAAGGTAGATTGAGGTGGGCTTAGAGGCGGAAGTGGGTGGAGGTGGGTAAGGTAAAGATGTAGGGATGAGGATGGAGAGGGAAAACTGATTGAGTTTAAGTCCAGGGTCAACAACTTAATTATTTATTTCATGTTTGTTGTTGTTTATAATCATGATAATTATCAGTAAAATTAACGCTATGCTATTATCATTATTACCTGTGTACCTTTTATTGTTTATCGCCATTATTATTATCATTATTATTATTATTATTATTTTACATTGGAATTGTTTGATAACTTTTCTCTATGTTATCTAATAAAATTTTGGAAAATTTCATCATTTGATCTGAGTTTTTGTTGTTCAATTTTTGTTGTTTTTCTTTTGCCTCTTGTTATTTAACTATTATCATCACCATGCTGATTAATATCATTATATTATTTTAAGATAGTAGCTGGACAGATGTCAAACATTAACAGCTGATAAAATGATGGCGAATGTAGAATGGAACAGCTGGAAAACGCAATGAAAGGCGACCATATGCAGTATCGGATCGCAGGCCAGCAAGCGATTTTGTCTCTCTCTCTCTCTCTCTCTCTCTCTCTCTCTCTCTCTCTCTCTCTCTCTCTCTCTCTCTCTGCTCGCTCTTTCTCTCTCACATCCACACGTACTTTTGTACGTTTTCATCCCGCCTCATTGATCTTTCTCCACCTTTATATTTATATTTTGTTCGAGTTGCCGCTGAAAGCCAAAAGTGAAACTCTGCTAAATTTCATCATTCAAAATAGCGCCTTGGAATTATTATTCGAGTTGAGGAAAGAAAAAAAAGTTCTAATATTGGAAAAAGTTATTCGACACATTGTTTATGCCACACGACTCTTATTACAATACTCTAACAGCATAAATCTCATTTCAATAGTAGTCTGATTGACAGATTTACTATCAATGTTTACTACTCATACTTTCATGAATTGAATATGGGAGAAAGAGAGAGAGAAAGATAGAAATATAAGATTCCCTGTAAACAGGTGCCATCTAATAGACAGAATTAGCACTTAATTTTTGAGTTAGTTAAAAGAGTAAATGAAAAAATCGATAAAAGCATCAAAGTTTCATGAAGATACTAATAAAAACCACCATACATGTGAACCATACATTCTGATTAAATATTAAGATGAGATAATACAAAAATCTAATGTGAAAAAGTTTGGAGAAAACAAAAATCAATAGCAAATGAAACTAATTGAGAATCGATTAAGAGCCATTTACCTGTTATCATAGGTATTGTCATTGAAAGGAAACCATAAAATGAATATAATACAATATTATTATGGATTAACAATGAGAATGAACTTTTTTTGGCCAATAAAATATCAAAACCATACAAGCTCTCACCATGGTTACATGAATCAAGAGTCTAGTTAGTTGATAATTTACCACAATAATCATAATGATAATAAACTAAATGGTAATACAATTTATCCAATAATCAACTAATCCTAATGATGCTGATAGTATATGAAGATTATTAATAATTATCTTCACATCGTCAGGATGAATTCATCAAGTTTCATGATGAAAAAATATCCTCCATATATTCAAATGAATATTAATTATCATCATCATCATCCTTTTCTGTTATTAGATTAACAGATGAAATAATCTTTACCGTTAATCAGATTGTAGAAAATTATTTTCTCATTCACAATTATTAACAATTAACTTGATTGGTCCATTTACATTGAGAAAAAGATTTCATGTAACTTGATTTTCATCATAATTGAGATGATAATTGTTTAATCATCATTATTACTTGGGTTTTACAATTAGCATCATTAATTACTTGTGAGCAAATTCAATTTGATTATCATGTTTTTTTTTTCATTACCCTGATTGATAAGAAATGATAATAATAATTTTTAACAATGAAAACGTTTACTTTTATCAAGGATTAATATTCAATTGCCTGAGGCAATTTGATGAGGATGCTAATTGGGGTTATAATCATCTTAATATTATCTAACTTAATAATCTAGATTATGATTATATTTTTTTTTTTCATCACTTCTCATACAATTAGTTACCTTTTTTTATATCTATTGATTAACTTGTTAGTTAATAGTTTCATCTGTTTGTTGATTCGTGCAAAGGTTAATTGTCCAAGTTAATCACGTTAATATGGTCAGGAAAATTACTATGATTAAAGATTATCATTGAATGATGAATGGTGATGATAATTGATGAGCAATGGAAATTGTGATTAAATCAATAGAGAGAGAGAGAGAGAGAGAGAGAAAGTCAAACTTGTATTAATTAAAATAATCACTTTGTCTCTTTAATCCAAAACTAATCTAATTTGTTCACCTTTCCTTGTTAATTGTATCAACTTTGTTGATCTAATTTCATTTAATTAGTCATTTCTCTTGATTATAATTTTCTTGTGATTATCAAATGTTTAACTATTATAAACGGAAATCAAACATTAATTATTGATCGTACAATTAATTTGGATTTGTACGTTTGCTTGTTAATTAAATCATCGTAATTGTAATGAAAAGTATGATGATAATCATTATCAACGTTTAATGTTTCCCAAATGTAACCTTTGATTTCCCAAACATATTAGTTACATGGTTCAAATTGCCATCAAAACTTTTTTTATTATTATTATTATATTCCAGATATAATATAATATAATAAAATATCATTTCATATTTTTATTTCTAGAAATCATGATTAGTTAATTTGATTTCAATCTCTGTAGATTATGGATGAAAAAGTAAAGAAAAAGAAAAGTATTAATATAATAATATAAAAGAAGTAAAGAAAGTGGAACGAAAAATTTTGTCCAAATTTTCGAAAAGAAATATTAGTAAAAAAAAAAGTTCTTTTCGAATTTTCTTTCATCTGTTGATCAAAAGTATATCAAAGGGAAAGAAATGCTCAATTCTACAAACGTAAACTTTCAATCAATTTCGAATTCATGATAACATTTACCTGGAAATTCAAATGATTACCACTCACTTTCTCTCTCTCTCTCTCTTCCACGTTCTACCTTCTCCATCCACTCTCCCTTTTCCGCCTCCTTTCATCTTCCATCTTCCACCTTTTTCTCTCATCCTCCCTCTTCTCTTTGTTCTCCCTCCCTCTGTCTCTCTTTTACTTTTGTTTTTCTTTCTCTTCATCTTCTCTCTCTCTCTCTCTCCTTTTCCTCCTTTCTCACTATTCTCACCTTTTCTTTTCCTCTCTCAACACACAAATACAAACCAAACTATCACTTCATTTGTTGACTTTAATTATTATGGTCTTGTTGCTCTCCCTTTCCTTTTTCCTCCATAGACCATAGTTGATGCTTTTCTGGAGAAGCAAAAAAAAACAATTTTTCCTTCGAATTTTCATCTGACGATAATATAAATATTTTCTTTTCCCGCTTTCATCACCATTATTCCTCATAAACTTACATGAAATGAAAAGTTCGATATCATCAAATCCATATCAGTACCTTTTTTAGAAGTAAAATTTTGTTATTAAAAATCCACCTCACATAACAGTAACATCAACAACAATCGGTGAGAATTGAAGATTTCATGGAAAATCATTAGCGATCAATATTATTACAATTTAATGATAATTACCAAGGTAAGAGAGAAGAGAGAAAAATAAATTTAATATTCAATTCTTTTACAGGAAACATTATCATTATAGATATTATTTATTTTATCCACACACACACATACACAAAGCATTTCATGAGAGTTCAGATGAAAAGGTAGGATTTCAGGGGAGAGACAAAATTTTATCCGCATTCATGAAAATGACAAGAAAAAGTTCAATTTTCCCTTTTTCTTCCCAAAGTTACACCTCGAGGCGATTTAATATCTACACAAACTCACACACACACAGAAAAGATATTATCATTATTCAATCAGGCATTTATTGATAATCATTAATCAATTGATTGTACACATCATTTCATAGCATCATCATCATCATGATCATCATCTATTGCATGTTACCAATGATAAAAAACACGGAAGTAAAATTCAATCTTATCTCAGAACTTTTTTTTCGTTTTTCTCTTTTTTTCTATCATGGAAAAGGTAAAGTTTCCACTTTTGTTTATTTACATGAGATAGAGTTCTCAATCAATAATTAAAATAATGATCGTTATGTTGAATATATGTGAATATGTCATGATAGTTTCATGATATTGTTCAATATTCTAAAAAGTAACCAAAGTTACCTTGTATTTCCATGGGGTGGGTTATGTATTTTTGAAAGCAAAACATTGACAAATGTCAGAGAATTGAAAAAGTATCAGAATTGAACTTTTCTTTCTTCTTCTTTTCTTTGATTTCGAAACTGAGATCAGAACAAAAAGTTCTTAGGGTGAAAGTAAAAGAATAGAAAAAAAGTTTAAATTATTTAAAAATCATTTACCTGTTATCATCACGATCGTAATTATCATCATAATGGATGAAAGAAATGATAAGAAAATCTATCAAAAAG